TTTTTTTTTGTATTTTTAGTAGAGACGGAGTTTCACCGTGTTAGCCAGGATGGTCTTGATCTCCCGACCTCGTGATCCACCCACCTCAGCCTCCCAAAGTGCTCAGATTACAGGCATGGGCCACCACGCCCGGCCTGGTTCATGATTTTTAAACAATAATGGTGAATAGCCCTAAAATAACATTTGGATCTTAACTCACTTCAATTCATCATCAGTTTTTTAACTCCTAGGCTTTACCAATGCAATTCTAATCAAAATTATTGTGGAAACTTGAAAAGCTTGGACAAAAGTGGCACAAGTATAAGAAAAATGAAAAAAAATTAAAGATTATAAAAGGGACTTGGCTTGCCAGATTTAAAAAAAATGATAAAGCAACAGTATAGTACTGACACAGAAAGAAATAAGGAAATATTATCACACAGAGTAGACTGCATCCAAAAGAGAACCTGGTATGGATACTTTCAGAATATAATAGAAAGATGGCACAATGAGTTGTCCACATTCTATTAATGGTACTGGAACTAAAAAACAAAGTTCGAGCCTTATCTCTTGACAACCAGAAACTGGCACTTGGGTCAGTCTATAAGTTTTTTTTTTTATTGCCCTACAAAATTCTTTACATGCATCATAATTAAGCAAGGGTTAAATGTGGACAGAATACAGGTAGTTCAGCAATACTCACCTCTCAGCACACACCACCCATCACCATTTTCTTGAGTATGTTACCTATATCACCACTACATGTATAGGATTACTATCATAAAAATCATCCACTAAGAAGAAATAACATCCAATTAAAAGAGTTCCCAGCACTTTGGGAGGCCGAGGTGGGTGGATCACGAGGTCAGGAGATCAAGACCACCCTGGCTAACACGGTGAAACCCCGTCTCTACCAAAAATACAAAAAATTAGCCGGTGCATGCTGGCACCTTTAGTCCCAGCTACTCAGGAGGCTGAGGCAGGAGAATTGCTTGAACCTGGGAGATAGAGATTTCAGTGAGTCGAGATCCTGCCACTGCACTCCAGCCTGGGTGACAGAGCCAGACTCGGTCTCCAAAAAAAAAAAAAAAAAAAAGAGTATAAGCAGGCAATCATATGAACACATGGAGGGGAAAAAAGTCATACAGACAAAAAACACTGATCAACCCTATCAGTTATCAGAGAAATGTAAATAAAAACGTCATTTTTCAATCTGATTTGCAAACATTAAAAAACAAAAACTGGTATTATCCAGAATGGCACAGATGTGAGGCAACAAGCACTCTCACTCTGAAGAAAAGTGCAATTTACTATAGCTTTGCTGAAGGTTATTTTGTAGTATATATTGCAAAATTTAAAATGTATATATCTCTCCACCCAGTAATTCCATTTTTAAAGTCTAGTCAAATCTAGAACATGGACAAAATATATACATAATGATATTTACTGCAAAATTGTCTGTACTGATGAAAAACTAGAAGTAAACCCATTAAGAGCATGAAAATATATTACAGTATATCCAAATAAAAGAATACCATATTTAATGGTTAAAAAGAAGACTGAGTTATGTTGTTAAAGACAAAAAGCAAGTACAGGATAAACATGTATAGTATGATTCTACCTATAATTATTACAACTATATATAAGTGGACAATGCAAGGTCTGAAAAGATAAACAGCAATTTAGTATCACTGGCACTTTTGGAGGTAGGTTGCTATCCTTGTAAATTCCCTACTAGATAGAATAACTCATTAGGATGTGAAAGGAAGGGCCTCTTTTTAGTGTCCACCCTTACATTACATGACCCTACCACCTTTGCCCTGCTCCTCAGGTATAAGCCTGATCCAAAGTGGACCACATCTTTCCTCTAGAAACTTGAAATTTGAAGTGACACAAAGATTGAAAGTTGCTGGACTAGGGTTATATCAAAAGCAATGCTTTCTAGAGGCTTAAAAACATTTGCTCTTAAATTCCCTGGAGCTTCTGCCACTTCTTGTTTAGTATTATAATACGAAAGTATTACAGAACATATTATAATACTTTAATATAATAAAATTATAATAAAGTATATGTTCTATAAAATATAAAAATATATATTTTATATTATATAATATATATGTTCTATAAAATATAAAATATGGTAATACTTTAGTATTATAGAACAAGGTCCTTCAACTAAATAATACAATTCTCTTTCTCTGGCTATACTACCTAGCAATAGTTTCTATCTTTTGCAACTTTTAATTTGTATGGTATAAAAGTAGCACAGGATGGGATAAGAAGAAGGTGAAGATAAGAAGAAGGTGAAGAAACACTGCTTTTTATTCAGACACTTCTATGTTGCTTAAGTTTTTTTATAAGCATTCATTCACAAATTATTTTTCATAACTTATGAAAAAGAGTCACTGATTTTTAAAATAGCCAGAGTTTTTTTTTTAGAAATATTTTTCCCAATTTCCATTAATATTTTGAGGATTATATCTTACAGCTCGGCTATGACTTAATGGCAATTTGCATGATTGTCTTACATTGTGAATTAAATATATTTAACACTAGTTTAATGATAATTTAAAAGTATAGTTCAATGTAGTATCAAAAACCTCAGAGCCTAAAATTAATTTACTCAGAATATTTGCTCATATAGATACATTAAGTCCGCAAAATTTTTAAAAAGTGAAATACCTCTAACAGTGGCATTTCTTCTGTGATTATGGGATCTAAACGTCGATCAGGGCCATATTTAACAGATGTTTTCTCTTCTTTTGTGTTGTTAAGTCGAGGACCTTGAATTTCTAAATCCTGCTTCCCTCGGACTGACATACTCAAGGAATATTTTCCTGAAATAAAAAAAAATCAATGCCCTAAAATAATTTGGTATGTTAACTGACATCAATTTAACTTGAATATGTGAATACTGTAAGTTTCAGATTATTTCTAGAAAAATTCTAGACAATTTTGATTAACATGATTAATCAAGGAATTTAATAAATTTTCATCTCATGTTTAACACCAACTAAGGTATGCTACTTAATTTCTCACTTGGTTTTAGATTTACTTTGCAAAAAAGACTACACATTACTCAACAAGAAGTCCTCTGAAATCTGTATTTAACCATGTGCCTATTAACTAACAAAACCTGAGAGAATAACTATCTTAGGCCCAATAATTTAATTTAGGCCATGAGAATGGATATCTATTCACAAAGAAAAGAAGTGGAAAGCAATGAAAAGGTCAACTTTTTACTTTCACTCATATTCAAATATATACACTAATTTGAATTATTTCTGGAATATAAATAACTGAATCTTCTCAAGAGACTGCACAAAGAAAATTAAATATAGCATAGTTTTCTCAAAATTAAACTTATTTAATATTCATGTGAAATTTTTCCCAAAAGCTTCCATGTAGTGCATATATGTGTGAAAAAACTTAGAGTATAATAACTATCTTTCTTGCAGGACTACTTAAAGCCTTTAATGTGCTGAAAGTCACTGTAATAATCTCAAATCAGATATAAAATATATTGATTCCCACACTTCATGTGACCGAAATCCTTATTAGCATTTTACATAATAATGAGCTACACTAAATCATGAAAACTCTGCTTAGAAGATAGGATTTTAACAGTTAATTCAGAGTCTCTTCCCATTAATATTATACATTAACATATAAAGTATTTTAATGCATATATTTGGTGCCTTAAATAAAACTACCATTTTACTGACAACCATACATTTGTGTACTAGATTAAGATCCTAGTTATGTACAAGTGTGAAAAGAAAGGAGAGTCAAAAAGCTCTTAATATCCAGTTATCTTGCTTTAAAAATGCAATAAATTAGCATTTTAAAATTATAAATAATTTAAATTATAAATTATATAAATTACAAATAAACCTTGTCTGGTACTTGTCAACCAAAAAATACAAATACAGTACTAAAATGCAGACTACCTTACTCAATTTTAGTGCAAATTTTTTTCTTTAGTAAAATGTTTTAGTTTCTATGGATTCATTTCACTTATTTTTCTTAAATGATGTACTGAATTATCCTAGATATCCAGGCAAGTATATTTAAATGAAAGTCTAAAGAACCAACGAATTTTCCGTGTTCCCACTTTCTCAGTGTTAATAATCAGCTTTTGTAAATGCTAAATTCATGTTTGTCAAGGACTATTTGTTATAAAATAAGACATATCTATTAAAATGAAGAGCCAGAAGTAGGAAGTTTCATGGTAAACTCCGTCTCCTAGCACTTTTCCAACTTAAACTCAAATTTAACTACATACAGTAATTACATGGTAATGTTAAATCGCGAAGGGTCCCCTGAGTTTAAAAAACAAAGAAAACTAAGTTAAATGCACATACTGCGTAGTTTTACCCTTCAAAAATGTATAGAACATACTGCATAGTGCACAAAGAATATCAGATTAACACTAAAGCCCTACTCTTTTTTCAAGACAGAAGATATAACTTAAGGTATTTAATATCCAACAATGTGGAAATATAGGTCTTTAATTTGTTCCATGTTTTATAAAAAGGAAATATTCAAAAAATAGAACATATTAAGATGGGTTTTATATTTGCAGCAGACGATCAATGGTTAGAATTTATTTGGTTAGAATTTACTAAATTTGGATCAATAACAGAAAAAAATGCATACAGTCTAAAAATTAACAAAAGAAAACATATCAGAAGGGAATCAAGTTGTTTATTTTTGACACTAGAGATGATGTTAGAAGTTAAAATAATCTAAATTTGTCATTCTTGGATCTGGCTAAATGCCTTTATTTAACGATACATTAAACCTATTTAGAAAATACCAGGTTTTTGTTCATTTTATTCTATAGAATGATTTAAGAAAGTTTTCTAATTGTTTACCAATGCTATAGCCTTTACCTGTGTGACATCCGGGAAGAGCACCAATGCCATCTACTGTCATAGAGCCCTGAATAGTGCCAAGATTATAAACAACTCCCAGAATATGCAGCTCCCCTATGTGATGGGGAAAGAGCTTTAGTCTTGCCTGTGGAGATATTTAAGTCACTCTTATTATGCTTTCATAATATCTTAAATAGCACAATACCTAATTCTATAATGTTGCAAAAACATAAACTCATGACCTAAACTTTTAAAATGCCAATTAATTTATGAAAAGCATCCTCTTCAAAAGAAAATCTCTAAATTTAACAATTATAGGCCTAAACCCTCAATAATAACTTTTCATAAAAAGGACATCAAGGAGAAAGCAACAGGCTTCTCAGGAAACTAACAAATCGAAGACCACTGCAAATCACCAATTTCCTCCTGAGCAATCCTATTTCCTAATCTTCCAAATTTTAGTTCTTAAGAAAACTAGAATATAAAATAAACTGAATAAAGATTTAAAAATTTGTTTTCATCTTACTTTCAGAAATGCATAAAGCAGAGAAATAAAATAATTACCACTTTTGATTCTTCGCCATTAATTAAGAACTCTGAAATAACTTCAGTTCCAATCATTTCAGGTTCACTTGTAACCTAAAAAATAAATTTCATAAATTATACATTCTAATGAGCAAAATATCAGATTAACACTCCTATATATCAATACTTTGAAACAATAACACTAATTGAAGTCTGCATTTACTAGGTTTTTTACCACATGCTGAGCTCTACACAAAATGTTTTTATTTCCACCCCTGGAGTAGACCCAGGCTATAGTAGGCACTCAATATATATTTTTTTCATTTTGTTCAGTCCAACTCAACTGAGAAGGATAAGCAATCGATTCAAAGATGTCACTATCCACAGACCTGTAATCTAACCTACTCAGGAGGCTGAGGCAGGAGAATCACTTGAACCTGGGAGGCGGAAGTTGCAGTGAACCAAGACGGTGCCACTGCACTCCAGCCTGGGCGACACAGCGAGACTCTGTTTCAAAACGGGGGAGCATATCAAAGATGCCGCCACCAAGATAATAAAATCCTGAGAGAAAATACCTAGTTGCTCATAGTCAACAATGGCCAAAATGGTCATTTAATTTAATCTTACAATAATAGCAAATTTCTTCTTTTGCTCTGACCAGCCTCTTTTTCAAAATTGGTCAATTACATAGAAAAGGTAATGGTGGGCTAAGCACGATAAAGGCAGACAGGTGGACAAAAAGAGCAGTGGAAGAGAGGCGAAAAAGGCCTGTTTCCCCTAAAGCAATGACATTTCTCTGGTCATGTAGCAAAGCAGAGCTAACTGCCTCATACTGGCGATAAACCTGATCCTCATAAACACTATTATACTTTTACTATGACATCATTTAGCACAAGAAACAAAAAACTCCCTACATTCCAGTTCGGCATCTTAGTCCATCACCATCTTAGTCAATTTCTTCATTTCTTAGTCACGAAAAAATCCAAAGAGTTTGAAATTTATAGAAAAATATTATTTTAAGAAATACTTCATCATACAAAATGAAAATATTCACTTAACTTTAAACCTCCTTTCAAATCTCCCATATTGAGTAGACTAATATACTTAAAAAAGCTAACAAATCTTTTTAAAAACGTTTCCAAGTGTAATTGTTCATACTCTTCTAATGAGTATTCCAGGCATCCAAAACATTAGAAAATTGCAGAAGTTGCTAAAATTCAAGTCAGAATACAGTCTGGGAAATCTCAGTCATTCAAATTATTAACAATGAATATAAATAATACAAAATATCTTCAACAAATTTAACCAGCAAGACTTATTTATTTATTTAATTTTATTGTTTGTTATTTGTTTTTTGTGTGTTTTTTTTTGAGACAAGATCTTGCTCTGTTTCCCAGGCTGGAGTACAATGGCATGACCTCGGCTCACTGCAGCCTCAAGTTCCCAGACTCAAGCAATCCTCCCACCTCAGCCTCCTGGGTAGCTGGGACTATAGATGTGTATCACCACATCTGGCTAATTTTTAAATTTTTTGTAGAGATGGGGGTCTCACTATGTTGCCTAGGCTAAAGCAAGACTTAAAATAAAATAAGGCAATCTTTAAAAAATCAAAACACTTGAGCACTAAAATGCTGGGGTATTTCCCAGTTCCAAAATCTCGCCCCCTTTATTTTTTGCCACATTATTAAAGCATTTAGCAAGGTAGTATTTAAAAAAAGCAAGTTATATAACAGATACTGATGAATAAACTAATAAATTAGTAGTTAAATATATATATGTGTGTGTGTGTGTGTGTGTGTGTGTGTGTGTATATATATTTGTCCAAGTTATTTCATTTATAGTCAGTTGGATATTAATAAACTATTTGGCCAGATCATTTCTGCTTCAAAATTAAATATCTTAAATATATAAAAGACTTATTAGACATGGAAATGAAAAGAAAAAATACAAATGAAGTTCTGAATAGACAATTCACAAAAGAGGAAAAACAAATACAAGAGTTCAACTTCACCAGCAATCAATGAAATGGAAAATAAAAGTTAAGATGGCATTTTAAAAATATCAAATCAATAAAGTTTTTAAGTAATACTGCTTACTGTCATAAAGACGAGACACCCAAACCCATATGCTGCTTAGTAAGAAGCTCATTGGTATGAACTTTTGTGAAACCAGCAGGGCACTAAAATACTTTTCCCTAAAATCTTCACTTCATGCCCTGGTATCTTCCCCACAGAAATAATCTAAAGGTAAAAAGCCACGCACAAAAATGTGCACCACAGAATTACTATGATAGTCAACAAATGGAAACTTCCAAAAAAAACTACCAAAGATAGTAAAATAGTTTATGAATCACCCATATGATGTAATATTATGCAAAAATAAAATATTAAGTCACTTTGATATCAGAATATGCCTATAAAACACAGAATGTAAAAAGCAACATACATAGCATGAAGGAATCCCAAATATGTGGGAAAAACATACAAATGAAAATAACCGGAAGCCTGGCGCGGTGGCTCATGCCTGTAATCCCAGCACTTTGGGAGGCTGAGGTGGGAGGATCATGAGGTCTGGAATTGGAGACCAGTGTGGACAACATGGTGAAACCTCATCTCTACTAAAAATACAAAAATTAGCTGGGCGTGGTGGGTAAGCCTATAATCCCAGCTACTCAGGAGGCTGTGGCAGGAAAATCGCTTGAACCTGGGAGGCAGAGGTTGCAGTGAGCCGAGATCGCACCACTGCACTCCAGCCTGGGCAACAGTGCAAGACTCTGTCTCCAAAAAAAAAAAAACTGGAAAGATACACAACAAAATGTTAAAGTGGTTATTTCTAAATATTATGAAGACAGATGGTTTCGCTTCTATTCCTTATGTTTTTCTGTATTTTCAATTTTCAAAAATAAGTACGTATCACAATTTTTATAACTAAGGAAAAATAAACCAAAAAGAAGTATAGCTCACTGAACAGAGTAAATTGAAATGTTACTACAGCATCTGTTAGGCTGTAACTGAAACATAATTACAAATACCTTTTAATAACTTACTAGTTGTTTAACTTCTTCATTATCCTTTTCACTGAAATCTTTAGGATGAAACTTCCAAAGTAATGACAAATCAGTCAACAAAAGTGGAACTTTCAAAGGGTTTCTAAAAGCCACTTCTACTGTAATTGGTTCTATTTAAAAAAAAAAAAAAGCCTCAATTAATAACTTTAATAAACATCACACCTCATGCTCAGCTTCGATTTTCTAAATGCATCTTGCTTTCATAGCTCTGCATTTCTGCCAAGACTGTCCTTTATCACCTTATAAATGTCCACGTATTAAGGATTCAGTTGTAATACTACATTACCTCCTTGAAAAGATTTCCCCAATTTCTCTGTACTAAAGGATGCCATTCCCTCTTCTACATTCCAACATCACATTGCAAATTGTTGTAGAAGAGTCCCCATTGTCTGGTTTTATAAATGCAGCTCAGTAAATTATGAGTTCCTAATTTATTTTTGCATCCCCAGCACCAATTATCTTTGCCAAACAATAAATTATCTTGATCAGGCTGTAAGTAAAACAAATAAACAAACAAACAAAAAAAACAAATAAAAATTCAAGTATATCACCTTCTACAACAGCAAGTGGAAATCTTGAATTATCTGAGTAACTGTTCAAACAGTATTGTGTGGGATGAAAATTGGATGGAATTACTCCTTTGTTAACCACAGAAACAACTTGTTCCTCAAGTTCTCGCCACTGCTGAGAGGATTCAGAATCATATTCTTGATCAAGACTTACATGAGTAGCTGCTTGTTTTTCACCTAAAAAAAATTTGTAACAACACGTTTATGAAGACTTGCCCACAAATAAAATGTACTTTAAATAAATATAAGGTACAGAAATAAATATATATATATACACATTCACTCTTGCCTATTTCTAATTCTGAGTGAAAAATATACTCTCATTAACCCTAGCTTATCTGGATTTTGCTTATAATATTGATGTTCTTTTCCTCCTGACTCTGAAAGAATGTATTTTCCCTTGTGTCCACAAGCAATTTTTATATGAAACATTTCAAATATACAGAAAAGGCATGGAGACTAATATAACAAATATTTGTATACTAAAATTTAACAAATGTCAACTTTTGCCTATGATCCCAAATATTTTTTATAAAACAAACATCACAGATAGAGTCAATGTCCTCTCTGCACTCCTCCCCTCAATCTTATTACTCTCCTTCGCCCCCACTGGCATTACTTCTTCGCAGAGGTATTCCAAAGTTAAAGTGTATCGTTTTCATCCAGGATTTTACCACATAAGTATATACAAAAACAATGCATAAAATTAGTTTGTATGTTTGAAACTTATACTGTAATTGACTCCTCACTCAGCATCATGCTGTGGGAAATGTAGAATTAGCATGAATTCTCATGTACTGCAGCGTAAATCCATTATGTGAATATACAAAAATACATCAATTAATTCTCTATTAGGAATTCTAGTTCTTTCACTCTTTTGCTATTACAAACAATGCTACTACGAATATGACAATTTTTTAAAAAAAATACTAAATCATATCTCAAGGAGAAACATACTGATTAAATTCAAATATAACAGCATTTAAAATTACAAAGTTTAACAGCCATCGAGAGCTTTAAAATATATGTATTTATACAATACATTTGTATAGATTTAGGGGGTACAAGTGATGTTTTGTTATACAGATATATTTCCCTGGTGGCAGTCTGGGCTTTTAGTGTAGCTATCAACCAAATAGTGTACATTGTACCCATAAGTAATTTCTCATCCTTCACTCCCTACCCTCCCAAGTCTCAATGTCTATGTGTACACATTATTTTGCTCCAAACCCACTTATCAACGAGAGCATGTAGTATTTGACTTTCTGTTTCTGAGTTATTTAACATAAAATAATGAAAAGCTTAATGTATTTATACTTTTGTTCCATTATTGCCATCCTAGGGCTCAATCCTAAAGAAATAATGCTGCATTTTTAAAATAGTCTTAAAAGAACAACAGAACACTGGTAACAGAACATTGGTATTCTCTGCTTCCATGTATATTTGAAAATTTTCATAATAAGACATTTAAAAAACAAATTTTATCTACAAAGATGTCCATCCCAATACGATTTTTTTTTTTTTTTTTTTTTGGAGACAGAGTCTTGCTGGAGTGCAGTGGTGCGATCTCAGCTCACTGCAACCTCCGCCTCCTGGGTTCAAGCATTTCTCCTGATTCAGCCTCCCAAGTAGCTGGGACTACAGGTGCATGCCACCACACCCAGCTAGTTTTTTGTATTTTTAGTAAAGACAGGGTTTCACCATGTTGGCCAGGATGGTCTCAATCTCTTGACCTCATGATCTGCCCACCTTGGCCTCCCAAAGTGCTGGGACTACAGGTGTGAGCCACCACGCTTGGCCACAATATAATTTTATATAAGCAAAAGATGGAAACAGTCTATATATATCAAGTGGATGTTAAAATAAAGTACTTTATAAGCACTGATAGAGTATCTTACTAACATTAAAAGTTTATGAAGATTATATAATAACAAAAGCATTATTTATGTGAGAAAAGCTGTTGTAATTACAACTGTTTTGTTTTCATTGTTTTTAGTTTTTAAAGCTGGGAAGAAAAACACCAAAATAGTAGTTATCTTCAGGTGGCAGGACAAAAGAAGTAATAAAGAGCTATTCATTTTCTCTCTTTTTTTTTTCTTTTGAGACAAAGTTTCACTCTGTCGCCGGGCTGGAGTGCAGTGTCGTGATCTTGGCTCACTGCAACCTCCGCCTCCCAGGTTCATGCCATTCTCCTACCTCAGCCTCTTGAGCAGCTGGGACTACAAGTGTGTGCCACCACACCTAGCTAATTTTTTTGTATTTTTAGTAGAGACAGGGTTTCACCATGTTAGCCAGGATGGTCTCGATCTCCTGACCTCATGATCTGCCGGCCTCAGCCTCCCAAAGTGCTGGGATTACAGGAATGAACCAACCGCGCCTGGCTGAGCTATTAATTTTCAAATATTCAACTATACGTCGTTTTTTAAATGGAGAAAGGAAAAAAAGTTTTTTAAAAATTGTCATTAGATAATTAGGCTAAATAAAACTTCACTAACCATCTGCTGGTCGTCTGTCATGGCCAAAAAAAACCCGTGTTGCTGAACTGTTAATATATGGTAAAGGAAGCTGTGGCAAAGGACCATCTGGTGACAGCTGACTTACATTCTGAGAGAAATACAAAAGGGAAAAAAAGAGGTAGTTTTTGTGAAAATGGTATTTTTGTTTCCTCATTTCTTAATACACAAGGCATTAAAAAGATGTTAAGCAAGAATATTAAGATATATAATTACTAGTTTTATTTCACGTATCAGTCATAAAATTTTACAACTCGGAAGAACTTCAGATATTTATTCTGTCTCAAAAGAATCTTACTGAGGCTACTCAGCTAATTATCTGGATGTTAAACGTGCAAAATTTATTTTAGTAAGCGTTTTACTTCTTATGACTCATTATAGCATCCTATCTGCCAAAATTCTAACCCATATAATTTCAAATTAATAAAGTCTAGACCCTAAGGGTAGTTATTTTCTGCAGGATAGATATAATATGCTCTATTCATAGGCCCTGGGAAAAGATTTACAACTTCCCATTTTTTCCATAAAACAATGCTTTATATGTTGTATCTGCTTGCCTCAGTGAAACAGTCCTTCTTCCTGTTAACTTTTTTGCATTGCACCATAATAGCCTGTCTACTTTCCACAGATCCATACCTCCTCATCTTTCACAAGGAAAAGAACATAGAATGTCCATCTCCAAAGGATGGTAAAGAGAACCCACTTAAAACCAACTGTAAAATCGGTTATGAGTCTATAAAAGCATGATGAATAAAGAATCCAGAAAACCCGTGGAATCTTTTTTTTTTTAAGATCCTAAGAATAACCATAAATCAAGTATTCATTGTAATATTAAAATTCTCTTTTCAAGAACTGTGGAAGGGGCGATGTAACCAAGATCTATAGCCAAGAAGCCTAGCCTGCCACAGCTTGTTTATGACTGATAACTACATATATTCTAATAAAACTATCCTAAGATAAGGTAATAAATAAACACTTTTCACTAAAATACAGTTTTAATATCTACTCCTGAATGAAAATAAGCATTCACCTTGTAAACATAAAGATATTCTCTGAGGAAAGCCCCTTGTTGAGCAGCAGATTGTTTACTTTCATTGATTAAAATATGCCTAAAAGCAGACACAGCATTGTCCAGTTGTCTAAGAGTATAGGACTGGCGCCCAATAGTGAAGTTAATGTGATCCTCTGCAAGAGACCAGCCTTTTCCTTTATAAACTTGCATGGCTTGACAATAACAGCGTAAAGCATGCTTTTTCTGTAAGAAAATAAACAAAATAATGTATTATACTCCAAATTTGTTTGAACTAGAAAAAACAAATACAAACACACACATAGAAACAATTAAGTAACTGGTTCTTCCTCTAAGGGAGACTGGGATAATGAAGAAAATAAAACTAACATTTATGATAATCCCTTCATAACTATATACGGCATGATATAGATTAAGTTACCTGAGCCATTGTGTGTGTGTGTGTGTGTGTGTGTGTATGTTAGAGAGGAGTAGGGGACATAAAGGAGGGTAAGGGAGACCAGACTGCTTTGACATCTGCCCACTACTTCTCCGAGCCACAATTTCAAAACGTCAACTTCAGAGGAAAGAGTTTACTTCTCAACTTGACTTTATCTACCTCAAATTCTTTCTGGAAAAAAGCCAAGGAATATGTAAACAAACAAACTTCAGCATCTAAAATGGTTAGATTTCACTAATACTATGATGAAAAAAATGTTTTCATACTCTAACTAGAAGCATGTTTTGTCTTCAAAGAGTTTCTTCATATTAAGTAAAACATCAAACACATTTATCAAACTTTTTTCTTGCCTATAATCAGAGACTTACATTGAATGTATGTGGCTACATATGCCAGAGTACACATACGCCATAGTATTCCACAGCACAAAGTCTAATAATATACAAATAAACTTTTTTTTTCCTATATTAACAATTCACATACTGGACCAACCATGCTGATCCCAGCCTGCTAGCCTGCCTGCCTGCCTGCCTGCCAGCCAGAACTCACTGGCCAGTCTTGTGACCACTGAAAGGTTATACCTCACGCGGTTCAAATAAAGCAGTAGGCTAGGACAGCAGCACAGTAAACACTGCCTGGGCCAGACAGGACTGCATCAGGTGCTACCACAGCCTCCTTTTTAAGGTGCTGTTGCCAAGTGTCAGGGCATACTTCCTGGTGTTCGGTGCATCTACTGCAGGACTTAAGAAGAGCAAGAGATTAATAATATACCAGAATGATATACAAAATGTGTGTTCAAAATGGAAAATTGCAAGGAATGCCAAAATCTTATGAGTATTGTAGTAAGAATGCAGTATTTGTGGCGATAAACATCACCAATGTAAAAAATCAAAAGAGGTACACAGAAAGACAGATTCTGAATGTTCTCACTCATATGTGGGAGCTAAAAAAGTGGATTTCATGAAGATAGAGAGTGGACTGGTGGTTACCAAAGGCCAGGGAGAGTGGGTGAAGGAGAATGAAGTTGATTAATGGGTACAAATATATGGTTTGATAGAAGAAATAAGAAGACCTAGTGTTAGATCAGCAGGGTGGCTATAGTTTACAACAATCTACTCTACATTTCAAAATAGAGAATTCGAATGGTTCTAAGGTGATGGATATCCCAAGTACACTGACTTGACCTTTATAAATTATATGAATGTATGAAATTATCACATATACCCCAAACTACGTATGTCTACCATGGACCAATTTTTTTCAAAGGAGAGTATTTTCTTCCAAGATCGCTTACAGCCGGGAGGGGTGGCTCACGCCTGTAAAAGCCCAGCACTTTGGGAGGCTGAGGCGGGCAGATCATGAGGTCAGGAGATCGAGACCATCCTAGCTAAAACAGTGAAACCCCATTTCTACTAAAACTATAAAAAATTAGCCAGGCAAGGTGGCAGGCGCCTGAAGTCCCAGCTACTCAGGAGGCTGAGGCAGGAGAATTGTGTGAACCCGGGAGGTGGAGACTGCAGCGAGTCAAGATTGCGCCACTGCACTCCAGCCTGGGCGACAGAGCAAGACTCGGTCTCAAAAAAAAAAAAAAAAAAAAAAAAATGATCACTTACTAGGGACCTCAGATGCCAGCTCTCCTCAGAAAGATCAAAGTAATTAATGGTCCAAACAGAAAACTGAAAAAAGACAGCCAGGATCAGATGAAGAGCCCATGGAAAGAAACTAGAGTGCAGGAAAGGAAAACAACAAGAGTTTGGCAGGGATCGACCGCTGAGGAACACAAAACCCCACAGAAACGGTAAGTGGGAGTACTTCTCTGCTGCCCTCTCCCCTCTGATCATCTGTTCACCATCCAACTGATGGCGAGTCCCTCTGCCCTCATGACCCAGGACAACACTAACAGTGGCAGTTTGAGAACGTTCCAGGGACAAGGATGGGGGTGGCCAGCTCACACAGGCATGCCCACCCTCCTTTCAGGCCTGAACTGAGATAGTAGATACCACTGCCTTGCCCAGGAAATCTCTGCTCTTGAATCACCGCTGCATCACCAGATCCCTAACATGTTCACAACTGCTGTGACATTAGCAAGTTTAGGAGACCAGTGGGTCCCCAGAGAAGGTGTGAGACCCATGGAGATGTAACCCCTAACTTAGGCTGCCCCTAGGGGAAGGGGGGACTGCAGCCTGCCAAAGCCCCACCGTGAGACAAAGGTAATGCAAACAAGCAACAATCGCTGAAGTGGGCAGCCCCAGTGGCTGGAAATGAAAATGAACAAGGGCTCATTTCCCGCCCACCCCATCCACTATTGTGGACACAGGAGAGGTTCTCCCTCCTGGGAGCTGGCAGATGTATTCTTGGGGAAAGCACTTTTCATGCTTTCTGTGATGGCTCCATCCCAGTTAAAAACAAGCCCACGGCCAGGCATGGTGGCTCAAGCCTATAATCCCAGGCACTCTGGGAGGCAGAGGCAGGTGGATCACCTGAAGTTGGGAGTTCGAGACTAGCGTGACCAACATGGTGAAACGCCGTCTCTACTAAAAACACAAAATAAGCCAGGCGTGGTGACGCATGCCTGTAATCCCAGCTACTTGGGAGGCTGAGGTAGAAGAATCGCTTGAATCCGGGAGGCAGAGGTTGCAGTGAGCCGAGATCGTGCCATTGCACTCCAGCCTGGGCAACAAGTGACAAAACTCTGTCTCCAAAAAAAAAAAAAGTGATCCCATATCAACTGGGCTTGCAGGAATGGCAAGGCCCAATTCCCCCTCCCTACAGAGAAGCATGTGGGCAACAGAAGGTGGACAAGCCGCAAAGTTGTTTACTCTGTACTACAGGAAGAAATTCTGCCCTGAACCCATTTTGGTGGTAGCTGCCCATTTTGGTGGAAGTGTACTCTGGCCAGGGCCCAATGGACAAAGTCTACATGAACTGATGGTTGTGAGCCCTCTGACAGGGGCGTGATAAGGAAGCTTCTGTCTGCTCAGGATGAGTAACTGGTGCACCCCACCTGAAAAAAGGATCAAATAATCTACAAAGTAAATATTATCAGACTTACAAACAGAAAGAGATTGGGGGCCTGTTTTTACCCTTCTTAACGACAAAAAAAAAAAAAAAAAAACTGCTAGCCAAGAATTTTATAGCCTGCCAAACTAAGCTTTATAATTAAGGAAAAAATAGTCTTTCCCAGACAAGAAAATGCTTAAAAAAATTTATCACCACCCGACCATCTCTACAAGAAATGCTCAAAGGAGTTATAAACATGGAAAAAGGATGATACCTGCCTGCTACCATAAAAGTGGTAAGTACATGTAAGTACAAAGTTCAAAGATCCTATAAGGCAGTTATATAATTGGGACTACAAAGCAACTAACAACATTATGACAAATACAAAACCTCACTTACAATATTAACCTTGAACGATAATAGCTTAATTGTTCCACTCAAAAGACAAGATCCAAGCATATGCTACCTACAAGACCTAATAAGATAGACCTAATAAGACCTAATAAGACGTATATTCTGTGTAATAAGACCCATAAGCTCAAAGTAAAGGGGTGGAGAAAGATCAATTATGCAAATGGAAAACAAAAAAGAGCAGGGGGTTGTTATACTTGTTATCAGATAAAACAGACTTTAAACCAACGACAGAAAAAAAAAAGACAAAGAAGGGAATTATATAATGATAAAGAGTTCAATTCAACAAGAAGATTTAACCAGCCTAAACATATACATACTCAATACCAGAGCATACAATTCTATAAAACAAATACTACTAGACCGAAGAAAAGACAAACAGTCATATAATAATACTCGGGGACTTCAACACCCCACTGACAACACTAGACAGATCATCGAGGAAGAAAACTAACAAAGAAACTCTGGAATTAAATTGGACTCTTGACCAAATGGACCTAATAGACATCTACAGAACATTCCAACTGACAACCACAGGATATACATTTTTCTCATCTGCGCATGGAACAGTCTCTGAAGTTGACCATATACTGAGTCACAAAGCAAGTCTCAATAAGTTCAAAAAAGTCAAAATCATTATCAAGGATCTTCTCAGACCATAGTGGAATAAAATTAGAATTCAATACCAGGAGGAACTCTCAAAACCATACGAGTACATGGAAACTAAAAAACTTGGTATTGAATGACTTTAGGGTAAACAATGAAATTAAGGCAGAAATTTAAAAAAATTTTGAAACAAATGAAAATAGAGCATATCAATACTTCTGGGATACAGCAAAAGCAGCGTTAAGAAGAAAGTTTATAGCACTAAATGCATATATCAAAAAGACAGATCTCAAATTAATAACTTAATGTCACACCTAAAGGAAACAGAAATAAGAACAAACCAAGCCCAAGCTGGCAAAAGAAAAGAAATAAAGATCAGAGCAGATCTTAATTCTTTAAATGAAATCAAGACCAAAGAAATCATACAAAGTATCAACGAAATAAAAAGTTATTTGAAAACACAAACAAAACTGATAAGAATACTAGGCAAGATTAAGCAAGAAAAAGAAAATATGATTTTAATAAGCACAATCAGATATGACAAATGTGACATCACAACTGATACTACAGAAATACAAAAGATCCTCAGAGGCTACTATGAACCCCTATACACACAACTAGAAAACCTAGAGGAAATGGATTAATTCCTAGAATCATAAGATCTCCCAAGACTGAATCAGGAAGAAACTCAAATCTTGAATAAGTCATTAACTAGTTACAAAATTCCATCAGTAATTAAAAAAAAAAAAAATCAACAAATGAAGCCCAA